CGGGGGGACCGAGGGAGCCCCCTCCCCGGGACAGCACTGAAATCAAGCAGCTCTCTTTTTAATTTTTTTTGGGGGTCCAGTTGTGGGGCCTGAACTGTGGGCCTGGGCGCTGTCCCTCAGCTCTTCAGCTCAAGGCTAGTGCTCTACCACTTGAGCCACAGCGCCACTTCCGGCTTTTTTCTTTTTGCTTATATGGTGCTGAGGAATTGAACCCAGGGCCTCAGGCTTGCAAGGCAAACGCTCTACCACTGAGCCACCTTCACAGCCCTCAAGCAGCTATCTTGCTGCCCCAGACAAGGCCTGGCCAGGAGCCTCAGTTTCCTCACTCGACCAACAGAACCAACCCTCCTTCGCTTTCACATTGCCTCCCCATGACCAGAGAACACCTCACCAAAAACAACCATCAATGCACGCCCAACCCAGTAGCCGCCCCAGCTGCTGCCAAACGAACACCGCACACCACATACCCACACGCACACACATACCACACCCCCGTGCTGCCAGCCTGGGACCTGGTGCTGGGCACCGGGTGGCACTCCTGGAAGCTGAGTATTCAGCAAAATTGGATGCTTTCTACTTTGTTCTTCCAAGAGATCCATGGGCCCCTGTGCTCTGAGCAGCTCAGGAGAACGAAGTGCACTGGAGAAAGGAGAGAAGGAGGGAGAGAAAGGGAGAGGAAAGGGGAGAGAGAAGAAAGGGGAGAGGGAGGAAAGGCCAAGAGAAGGAGGACTAGGAGAAAAGTGGAGAGGCAGGGAGGGAGGGAAGAAGAAAGAGAGGGAAGGAGAGTGGGAGGGAGGAGGGGGATAGACAGAGGGAGAAACACCAGGATACCCCCCTCCCCCACAGGCCACTCACCTCCAAGATCAGCTCCCACCCTGGGCTGACTGAAAACTACAGCAAAAATAGGCAGCCGGGGCCCCGCCCATGCACCCCCCAGTCCCCGTGGCCAGGCATGCGTGTGGCTGCTGCCCATTGGTTGGGAAGCCTCGACGGGCAGCACCTGTGCCGGCACCTGCCTGCCCTTACCCCCCTCCTCCCCACACACCCAAGGCCTGAGGTGGGGCAGCCCAGCCCCAGCTGCCCCCAGCCACCTGCACCCAGCTACAGGCTTCCAGCTGGTCCCAGCAATCAACTCCATGGGGTGAACACTTTTGTTTTATTGTCTTGAGACACAGTCTTCCTCCCTAGCCAAGACTGGCCTCCTTCGGGGGGCGGCTGGGATTACAGGCATGAGCCACCACACCTGGCTGGGGTTGAGTGCGTTTTCAGCATTCCAATGATTGAGTATTAGTATTAATGAAGGCTTTTGCGCTTACCGCAGAACAAGGTGGGGAATGTGGGAAGCACGTGGAGATAAACTTGCCTCACTATGCACAGAGTGACGAAACCTCGAAGCTATAAACCTCAGAGGTTCACCAAGGCAAAGCACACTCAGGGAACAGAATATGAGGGCCCAGCAGAACTCCAAACAGCACAGCTGCCCTACGCAGGAGGAAAGATGAGCTTTCCACAACCAAGCTCAGCCGGCCGCACACCCACAATAGACAGCCTCTTCCCCGTGTGCAAACCCAGCTCCGGGAATTCTGTAAACCCAAACAGGGAAGACCAGACTCGCTTCTCATGCAAGAGAAGTTTATCCTCACGTGGAGAGTGGGACACATGACCCACGGTGCCACGGCAGGGGTTTATATACTGCGTGGAAATGTCTCTAATGTATGCCAGTGAAAATCAGAAAGAAAGCCAGGCACCAGTGGCCCATGCCTGTCATCCTAGCTACTTAGAAGGCTGGGATCTGAGGATTGTGGTTCAAAGCCAGCTCAGGCAGGAAAGTCCGTGAGATCTGATCTCCACTAAACCAACAGAAAACCGGAAGTGGTGCTGTGGCTCAAGTGGTAGAACACTTGCCTTGAGCTGAAGAGCTGAGGGACAGCGCCCAGGCCTAGAGTTCAAGCCCCACGACTGACAAAAAAAATCATTAAAATCTCACCCATGCTGACTGCAGGCCCTTGTGTGCAAGCCTAGTGTTGGGATGAGATTTCCCAGGGTAAGCACCCCTAACTCTGCTGGTATTGGCTCCCAAGTGTCCCCAGGTGGGGCTCATGTGGAGCCCCAGGGAATCCCCTGGTCTCTGGCTGGGTTCCAGGACACAGGACCTCATCGCTTTGCATTGATAACTTCATGAGGCACACCTCGAACACCCGGTGCAGAGCCTTCTCCTCCTTCCCTCCCTCCTTCCAACTGAACCAAGGCCTCACACTTCCTACGCAGGCAGTTCATCTCTTTGGCCCTATTTCTTACGTGACTTGCTTTTCATATAGGGTCTGGTGTTTTGCCCAAGTCAACTCAAACCACAGTCCTCTTATCTACCTTCACCTGCATACACATGTGCCACCATACTGGGCTTGCTGGCCAAGGTGAGCTCTTGTTCACTTGGTTTGCTTTGAACCATCATCTTTACAATTTCTACCTCTTGAGTAGCTGGGATTACAGGTGTGAGCCACCACAGGCATCCTTCAACAGCCTTTTTTTTTTTTTTTTGGTCTGTTATGGTGCTTGAAATTGGGGCCTAGACCCTGTGCCTGAGGTTTTTTCACTCAGGGCTAGAGTGCTACCACTTGAACCACAGTGCTACTTCTGGCTTTTTGAGATTCTTGGGAGGTAAAGAATCTCACAGACTTTCCTGCCCTGGCTGTTTTTTTTTTTTTTTTTGGGGGGGGGAGGGTTGTTGTTGTCGTCGTGGGGCCTGAACTCTGGGCCTAGGCACTATCCCTCAGCTCTTCAGCTCAAGGCTAGCGCTCTACCACTTGAGCCACAGCGCCACTTCCTGCTTTTTTCTTTTTGCTTATGTGGTACTGAGGAATCGAACCCAGGGCCTCAGGCATGCAAGGCAAGCTCTCTACCACTGAGCCACCTTCCCAGCTCCCCCTCTCCCCCCTCACACCCCCGTGGCTGACTTTGAACCACAATCCTCAGGTCTCAGTCTCTGGAGTAGACAGGATGACAGGCGTGAGCCACCGGTGCCTGGTGTTAGAATCCCGTGTGTGCCAGAGTGAGGGGCCAGGACCACAGCCTCCAGCTCTGTTCTCCAAGCATGCAGACAGCTTCTTGAGCACATGCTTTGCTGCTCAGCCAAGTCGGGGCTCCCTAGGCCCTTTTGGGGGGCCGGGCCCTGGGCAGGGGTATGTGGCTTTCTGCAGCCCTCCCCAGCCTGCTGACCCCATGCATAGAGCCTCTAGAGACCACATCCTTCCCAGGGCATGGGGTTTTTACCTCTTCCAGATGGGAGAGGGAAGAGGGGGCCTGGGACACAAAACGTCCTCAGGGTGGAAGTGCGGGGTGCTGGTTAGACGCTGAGTTCTCTAGGGGAACCAGCTCCCAGGGGCCACACAGAGCCAGCTTCTCCTGGACGCCCCACACTTCCCCTGGGAGTGTCTGGACGGGCCAGGGAGCAGGTTGTGGGGTATGGGACACGTCCAGACAAGCCAGGGTGCAGGGCACGGGGCACAGGGCTTCCCTACATGCTGTGCCTGATGAAGTCAGCAGGCCACGAATGACTCCTGGAGACAGCAGCTGTGTTGCCTGCATGCACTGATGTAATACTCCTAGCACCCCATGAGCCAGGAATCCTGTGCCCACGTGCAGACCTGGCAGGCACTCTGTGGTGTCCCCGCCAGGCAGTGGGTGTCAACGCCCCCACCCGGGGTCGTTCTGCAGTACCAGCTGAGCACACAGCGCGTGGGGGGTGGTCAGGACAAGGGGAGGGTCAGCCCCGCTCCAGGACATCATGGCCACATGGCAAAAGTCCATCATAGCTGGACACTGGTGGCCCATGCCTGTGATGCATTTGGGAAATAGCTGTGAGCCTGGTGGGCAGCTCATGCCTGCAATCCCCAGCCACTGGGAAGCAAAGGCAGGAAGGTGGAGCGGCTGAGTCAGCTCAGACAGGCAGCAAGACCCCACTCTGGAGTAAAACAAAAACAAATGGTGCCTGGGACAGTGGCTGGCACCCAAATCCTTGCTGCCTGGGGCAGGGATGGAATCCTGCCCTGGGAGGCCTATTAACTCTTGGTGATGGAACTCCAGCAAACGATCGTGTAGGGCTTTTAGGATCCACACAGGACTGGATGATCCCACCTAAGCCCCCAAGTATCAAGAAATACAGGTGTGTACCACTACTCTCAGCCCAGTAATAATCCTATGAATCCAATCTTAAGAGTGGAATTGTTTCACATCACCCATGAGGAACTTGCAATCCATTGAACGACTTGAGTGTTCTATGCACCCCTGTTTGCTCACTGTTAAAGAAAGCAGCATGGCGGAGAGGCCATCTTCCACCATGTCACAGGGTTCCTGATGAGGCCCAGGCAAGGGCTCGAGACAGGCTTGGTGGTCAAAGGCTCTGCTTTTGTCTGATCTGTATGAGTGATTTGCATGAGATGAGAAAGAGCCTCAGTGAGACTGCTAGGAGAACAGGAAGAAGGCAAACCATCAGCCCTCTTTCACTGTCCCCACAGCCAGCCCCTGGCAGGTGAAGGTGGAGAAGGTCTTTCAACTCCCACCTCTCCTCAGTCCCATCAACTGCTTCCCAAAACTCATCCAGATATATAGCTTTATTGGGGGTTAAAACGCCAGTTTGAGAAAAGACAGAAATGGTGTCATGGTGAACATCATTCAGTGGCTTGTCCAGGACCTCAGAATCCATTAAAACCAGGAAAACCACAGGGGGCTGGGGTGGCAGGGACTTTACCTTCCTGAACAAATGGGTGAAGAGGCCTGCCCCACCCCATGTTCTCCAATCCAGAGGCATCCTGCCCCATCCTTGTGTTGTCCAATCAGGAGGCTCCCCACTCCAGTGTTTGCCAATCAGGAGGCACCTTGACCCTCAACGTTCTCCAATCAGGAGGTGCCCTGTTCTACCCTGCCCAGCCCCGGTGTTCTCCAATTGAGAGGCTCCCCTGCTGCTGGGGTAGCTCAGGCCACGCCCCTATCCTCCATGACTCTCAGGCACTCACAATGTGCAGCTCTGGGTCTCTCTCCTCCACTGTCCTCAGAAGGGCCCATGATTCCTCATCCAAGTCACCCTTTCCCATCCTGCAAAGATCCAGATGGAAAAGCTCGATTAACTCAGGTATGGGTTTGTTTTTCTGCATGCCCTGTGTCTGCATGACTTGTTCCCAGGATGAGTCTGGGAGGGCCAGCAATGGAACCCGTGGTGTGCTGCGCTGTGCCCACTCTCCTCCCTCCTCACAGACAGATAAAGGCCCTGGGCTCTGCCCATTTCTGTGGTGTAAAATCTGCTAAACAATGGGGATCGATCTCAAGATATTTTTTTTCATGCCACTGAGGCCACACACCTGTAGGTATGTATGTGTGTGTGTGTGTGTGTGCGCACGCGTGCGTGCATGTACATGCGTGCTCACGCATGCACATGTATGTATGTCTAGGACCCTACCATGTAAGCCCAGCTGAAGATGACAGACATGTGCCATTGCATCCAGCTATGAGTTAAGATGAGGTCTCACAAACTATTCTGTATGAGCTGGCCTTTCAATCTGTCATCTTTCTATTCTTAGCCTCCTGAGTAATTATGATTACAGATGTAAGTCCCTGGTACCTGGCTCAAAGGCTCAGTTTAAGATGGGTGACAGCCTGACTAACCCACTGTAAGCTGAAAATACTTTTAAAGTCACCAGCGCGATTGAGTCATGAAACACCACACCCGGCTAAGATTTGAGAGTAGGTCCTGCTGACTGTTTTGCCCAGGGGTCTCAAACCATGATCTTCCCACCTACTCAGGAGCTGGGATTACAGGTGTGAACCACTGTGCCATCCTGAATGGTGCTCTGTGGCTGAGCTGCAGCCCCAGCCCTATTTTGTAACGAATAAGATCTCATGTACTGAAGGGGAAATAGTAACTGTTGTATGGGTACACCTCCTCATCGTCAAATCCAGAAAGCTGAACTCAGGGCTCTCTGCACGAACAGAAGTTATATTTCCAGACATTATAGAGCATAATTTGAGTTATAGAGGTGACAAGTGCCACTAGCACTCTCCACTGGGTTTTCTTCTTAGAGTCTTACTCTCAAAATTAACCAGGCTAAGAGAGGGCAGATCGTGTAGGTTTTAAGGGGGATGAGATCGTCCTGTCCTGTGAAGCTGCCTGCCCCAGGACCCTAAGAAGGGGTCTAGCCCTCCCCCAGCCCAGCCCAACTCCGACTCACCAGAGGACCTTCAGGGAACACTGGGGGTGTTGTAGGGCCTTGCACAGCAGGGCTATCCCACTGTAGTCCAGGGAGTTGCTGCTCAAGTTTAGCCCCTCTAGAGTCTTGCTGTGGGTAAGAACGTTCCACAGGTCCCCACAGCAAGCGCTGGTTAAGCCACATCCCTGCAGCCTGGAACACAATTAGGGAGTAAGCGCAGCCTGCAGGCTTCCCCGTGCCCCTCGCCTGCGAACCCAGCTCTGCACAGACCCCTCTGACACCCTAACTCAGTAGAAGTTGGTCTTGAGTGTACACCCATGCCTTGAACACATCTTGAGCTATTGAATCATGAGTAGAATGTGCCCCCCCCAATTCATCCACGGAAGTCCTAATCCCCAGTTCCTCAGAATCTGACTATATTCCAAGACAGGTCACTATGGAGTCGGTGGCAATTGAAACAAGGGCGTGAAGGTGGACAGAGCCTGCTCAGGTATCCTTTTAAAAATAGGGAATGTATTGGGTTTTTTGGGGGAAGAGGGGACACAAGAATGGAGGGGGAAGAAGGATGAGCAAATACAGTCATGGTATTCAGTAGACACTATGTAAAAAGTGAACTATGCAACTTGTGGGTGGTATGGGGAAAGAGAAGAAAAGGGTGACATTGCCCCCCCAAATTTTGTACTCATCACCTGACTTATGGAACTGTAACCCCTTTGTACAACTCCTCATAACACATTTAAAAAATAAAAATGAGGAAATTTTAAGCTGGGTCTGGTGGTGCACACCTGTAATCCTAGCATGCTGGGAGACAGCCCCCGGCCCCAAGCTCCCCCCCCAGACAGAGACAGGGCACACCCACCCAAGGGTCTGTATGCGACAGTGGGGATACACCAGAGCTTCACACAGCAACTTGACGCCAGCATCTCCCAGCGCATTGACTCCGATCTGCAAATGTCTCAGGTTCTGGTTGTACATGAGGACTGGAACGAGGTATTGGCAGCCATGGGTGGAGAAGCCACACTCCGTTATGCTGCAAGAGGTCAGGTGTGGTGAGACAGAGCCGCCATTCCTCCAGCAAGGCCCAAGCCACCATGGCTCTAACCTACTCGGGCTGCACTTTCACTGATATGTGCAAGCCACAAGAAAGGCTTCCCATCTGAATCTTCATGTATTAAAGTGCACAGAGTAAAAGGCTTCATTATGACACTTATACAAGCACACCATGTACCGTGGTCATTAATATTCACCCCTCTGCTATGCTTTTTGTTTTTGGTGGTGTGTGTGTGTGTGTGTGTGTGTGTGTGTGTGTGCGCGCGCGTGTATACTGGGACTGAACTCAAGGGCCTGATCACTGTCCCAGAGCTTTTTCACACAAGGCTGGTGCTCTGCCACTTGAGACACACAGCTCCACTTCTGGCTTTTTGGTAGTTAATTAGAAGTTAAGAGTCTCATGGATAATCCTGCCTAAACTGGCTTTGAACTCTCATTATCAGATCTCACCCTCCTGAATAGCTAGGATTATAGGCATAAGCCACTGGCACCCAGCTTACACCGCTTTGTTGTTTGCTGGAGACAGGGTCTCACTGTGCAGCCCCATCTGACCTGGAACTTGCTATGAGGCCCACGCTGGCCCTGACCTTAGGAGGCTATGGCCTTTACTTCCTGAGTCCTGGGATTACAGGCATGCACTACCATGCTCACCTTTTTTTTTTTTTGATAGGTTTTTTGAACTCTGGGCTTGGGCACTGTCCCTGGGCTCTTCAGCTCAAGGCAAGTGCTCTACCGCTTGAACCACAGCACCACTTCCGGTTTTCTATTGGTTTATTGGAGATAAGAGTCTCACAGACTTTCTTGCCCGGGCTGGCTTTGAACCTCGATCCTCAGATCTCAGCCTCCTGAGTAGCTAGGATTACAGGTGTGAGGCACCAGCACCTGGCTCCATGCTCACCTTTTAATCTGTAAAACTATGGAGAGTGAGGCCTTCTGCTTTATTTTTTCATTCTTTAGGTGTTTTGTAGGTACTTTTGGGCTTCCCATAAATTCCATACACGTTTGTTTTTTTTTTTTTTTGGGTCCAGTCGTGGGGCCTGAACTCTGGGCCTGGACGCTGTCCCTCAGCTCTTCAGCTCAAGGCTAGCGCTCTACCACTTGATCCACAGCGCCACTTCTGGCTTTTTTCCTTTTGCTTATGTGGTGCTGAGGAATCGAACCCAGGGCCTCGAGCATGCAAGGCAAGCGCTCTACCACTGAGCCACCTTCCCAGCCCTCCATACACATTTTTAAATGTACTTTTTCGGCTCAACTCAACAACGAAACAAAAATGTTTCATTTCTACTGGTGTTTGCTCAGAATCAGTACATACGCCCTTACTTGCCTTGTTTTCTCACATAAATTCTCACATGTATTTCTGGGTCCCTATACCCACGTTTTTATATAACCTTCCACCAGAAAGTCTGCTCCTATCTTTCTATGTAGCACCATTTCCTCGTTTTGTGGCACACAGGCTGAAGTCTTGGCCATAGACGTCTACCTGGCCCGTCCTAGCTCCACTGTAGCCCAGTCCTATATGATACACACACACACACACACACACACACACACACACACACTCTGGGTGATGACAGACTATGCACTAGGCCTGTGAGCCAGCTGCCCAGGCACCAGCCTTCCCTGAGGGACAGCTCCATGGAGCATGTGCTAGGTGGAAGGCCACACAATGACTTCACATTGGCCTTCCTGCACAGACAGGCTCAGCTCCAGCACTGACCACAGGAAAACCTACCACAGGGACCTCAGGCTGCAATACGGGAGCTGCAGAGCCTCACAGAGAATCTCCAGGCCTTCGTCCTTCAGGATGTTCAAGCTCAGGTCCAGATGTCTCAGGGTGCTGTTCCTCACAAGCATCTCTGAGAGAGCCGGGCAGCACTGCTGGCTGACGTAGCAGCATGCCAGCCTGTGGGGCAGAGTGGGGGACACAGAGGGGTGAACTGGGACCCGCACCCACAGGGCCTCCTGACACGCACACCATGATGAGCACCTCCACCAAGAATGGCGGCTCACACCTCTAAGCCAAGCACCCTGGAGGCTGAGATCTGAGGATCATAGTTCAAACCCAGCCCTGGCAGAAAAATCCAGGAGATTTTTTTTTTATCTCCAATTAACCAGCAAAAAGCCAGAAGTGTGGGTGTGGCCAGAGTGGTAGAGCGCCAGACTTGTGTGAAAAAGCCAAGCAAGCGCACAGATCCCTGGGTTCAAGCCCTAGCACCGACACAACGGTCAATCGGTGAGGTTTAGGCCAGCAGCTCCGGACCGCCCCCCCCACCTCGGCTCTCCCAGCGGCCCCACCCTGCCACTCACTCCAGGAAGTCCAGGACAGCTTCGGGGCAGCTCAAGGCCGCACACAGTCGGCCCACGCCGGTGTCCAGGTAGTTGCAGGTCAGGTTCAGCTGCCTCAGCTTCTTGTTGTGGGTCAGGACCCAGGCCATGGCGTCGCAGTGGTCGGCAGTGAGGCTGCAGTCCTCCAGGCTGGAGAGAGAAGGCGTGGTGTTCCCACCAAACCCCACACGCCTCGCCCCAGGGCCCCACAGATTGTCCACCCTCATCACCATCACCAAGGTATGGCCATGAGACCATAGGCACAAGTGGGCATGGGCGTATGTGACGTCACCCATTGTATGTACCCTGGTAGGTGACATCACCTCCCTAAAAGGTCTGTTCCTCCCTCTTCCCTCCGCCCCCCCCCGCCCACCTCTTCCACCTGCCCTGGCCGCACCCCAGCTACACTGTGGCGGCCTACCAAAGCCGTCGCCACCGCACCCCAACTGGGCCTTGGGTGAGCAGGCCCTCATCATTCTGGTTCTGTACAGTGACACCTCAAAGGGCACCCCCGCCAAGAGGCCTTGAGGCAGAATTCAGCAGGGCTGTGTTCAGAGGTGCCAGGCTAGTGATGGCGATTCTCTACCACAGCAGTCATTGGCTGTGTGTGTGTGTGTGTGTGTGTGTGTGAGAGAGAGAGAGAGAGAGAGAGAGAGAGACCATCTAAACCCAGAGACAATTGAATAAAGATGGAAACAATTAGAACTGGTGTCTAGAAATTAAGTCACCATGGAAAATCACCCAGTTCACAGCCCCCTACCAGTCTCTGGGATGGTTGTGTGGCAATACACAGAAGGATTGAAATTTGAAGCCTTGGAAAAAGTGTGAAAAAGAATCCAAAAGGATGAGTGGTTCAAGTGACATGCTGGCCTAGCAAACTAACATCCTAGGTTCTGCAGTACGGGGGAGGAGGGAGCAGAGAGAGAGGAAGGAAGGAGGGTAGAAGAAAGGGAGGGAGCTGGGAGGGGAAATAATCCACAGGAGAATAATCCACAGAAAGAATCCACAGAAGCTGAATGGAACAGAATCTTCCAGAGTGGCTAGGCCTATCAAGACACTATGATCTGTGTCTCAGGAGGCAGAATTTACATGTGGATAACATGCAGATAATATATGGATATTAGAAAACAGGACAGAGGGGCAGGAGAGATATCCCCCACCCCCTGCCCTCTCTGGAGTGGGCAGGGCCTGGCATGTGTGGAGACTCACTTCAGGCTTTCGATGTTGCAGGTTGGGTGGTCCAGGGCTTCACAGAGCAGGAACACATCTTCACAGGACAGCTTCATGCTGCTGATGCTCAGGTATCTTATATTTGGGTTCTGAATGAATATATCAAAGAAAAGCCGCATCTCACCATTTAAGACCACACCCTTCATCCTGCAAAGCAGAGGAAATTGCTGATGAGTTTCACCTAACAACCTGAAAGCACCAGTGGAGGTGGGGCCTGGACCATCTCGTACAACCCAGAATCAACCCAGATGCTACAGCTGCACCTGGACCATCTCGTACAACCCAGAATCAACCCAGATGCTACAGCTGCACAACTAAGTGCTCGCTTTGTCCTCTACACACAGGGACATGGAGAAGTGTCTATAAACCTTGTGTATTGTCCTAGTACAGGAAGTTACTGGAATCTGAACACAGAGGCAGGCTCCCCAGCTTTCTGCCATACCCTAGAAAGCCCCCCACTGCAAAGAATGGCTTCAGCAGCCCTCAGTGATGTTGAGCGTGAGCGATTCTGCTCAGACAACTCAGAGAGCATGCAAAACTTCATCTCCACTGGAAGCCAGCAGTGAGACTCTATGCAGGACCAGTTGGGTTGTGTGGGTATTGAGCTTACTTGAGGCTTTGGAGGAGACAATGGGGCTCCCTCAGATGGCTGTACAAGGCTATACATGCTGACTCATTCAGAATGCTGTCTTTCATCTTGAGATCAAAGAGGTATTCATTTCTCCTGAATACTGAGCATATTTGGTCCCAGCAGACAAGACTGGAATCCAACCTGTCATGGTGGAGAAAAGAAGGCCTCCTGTGGTTGAGGAGTCAAATTCAGCCATCCACAGCACAGAAGAATAAATGAGAAAGTGGGAATGTGGCTTAGTGCTAGAGTGCTTGCTTAGCATGCACGATGCCCTGGGTTCAATTCCTTGGTACCATGTAAACAAAAAGCTGGAAGTAGCACTGTGGCACAAGTGGTAGAATGCTAGACTTTAGCAAAAAGAATCTCAGGGACAATGCCCAGGCCCTGAGTTCAAGCCCCAGGACTGGCATATTATTATTAATAATTATTATTATTAATAATAATATAAATTAATCAGGTGCTGGTGCTTCATGCCTGTTACTCCAGCTACTCAGGAAGCTAAGATCTGGAGGATTGCTGTTTGGAGCCAGTCTGGATAGACAAATCCAAGAGACTCTTTAGCTTTAACTAAGTAGCAGAAAACTGGAACTGAAGGCATGGCTCAAGTAGCCAAGCACCAACCTTTCATGAAAATGCCAAACGAGAGCACAAGGCCCTGAGTTGAATCCACAGTGCTGGCATACAGAAGGAACTGAATAGAAGAAACAGATCTTTCCTTGGGAAAGAGTGCTGATGGCTCCGGTCTGTAATCTTAGATACTCAAGAGGCTGAAATCTGAGGATCATAGTACAAAGCCAGCCCTGGGGGAAAAAAAGTCTGTGAGACTCTTATCTCCAATTAGCCAGCAAAAAAGCCAGAAGTAGAGCTGTGGCTCAAGCAGTAGAATACCAGCCAGACTTGAGTGATACAGAACTCAGGCCCTGAGTTCAAACCCTATACTGTCTCACACACACACACCAGGTGAGCATCTGTGCCAATCATGTCCCCACTTAACACCCACTGAGCACTTGGCCAGACCCTGAAAACAGAAGAGAAAGGAAGCCAGTAGAAGGACTCACACAGGTCTGTGTGGTTGCTTTGCCCAGATATTTTCGATGCAGAGACTCAATTTCCTCAAGCTACGACAGAATTTTAAGCAGTACGAGAAGATGATCAAGTCTGTATTGTCCAGGATTAAGCAGTTCACTTTCTTGATGGGCTCCATCACCTCCCTGACAAAATCATCATTCTGCATCTCAAACAGACAGTAAGACAGTTTGGAGAAGTCCACCTGACTCTGGAGATCTTCGTTCTCGTTGACTCTCCTCAGGCTCTGGTGACACAGCTGCTTCACTTCCTGGCTGGGTTGAAAGCCAAAAAACGCATCCAGCTTTCGTTGCTCATTTTCGTGTAGAAGGCCCATGAGAAAACAACCCAGAAAAATCCAGTTTTTTTTCGTTCTGTCTAAGTAGGTCATCAGGAGCACATCTACACTGTCCACAGCAGGGTGATGGTGCTCACTGGGGTTCTTGAGCACATGAAACAAGGCAGCACAGAACTCTTGGACAGACAAGTGGAGGAAGGAGTAGCAGTCCGCATGCTCCTTGAGCAGGATCTTGGTGTCCAGGAGCGTGGCAATGTCAGAGGTGGCAATCCCGTTTCTTCCCAGCATGTCCTCGGGAAACACAAACGTGTTGGTCCACATGCCCTCTGCAGCCAGGGCGCACAGGCCCTGCAGCTGCCCTCGGCCTTGTGGACTGGGACCATGGGCACCCCTGGGGGTGAACGCGTGAAGGATGAAGGAGGTATACAGGGTGGTGGTGCACCGGCAGACCTCGGCAGGCTCTTGCCCCCTTTCCATCTCCTGTTTCAGGCACGTGCATACAAGCCAGCAGAGCAGCGGCATTTCGCACAGCATGGAGAGCCGTTTGTTCTCCTGAACAGCATTGAAGGCCTGCACAGCCTGGCCCCAGTTGGGGAGTATGGATGAGAAATAGAGCTTCTTACTGTAGTCATCGAAGCCCATCATTACCCGCACCTGGACATCCTTCAGATTTTTCTCCAGCTCCTGGGAGAGATTTGGTGTGGTGGCAATGATCAAAGAGGATTCTGGGAACATTTTCTTCCTCAGTAAACTGCTCACCAGCACAGGGACTGGCTGCTGCTCCTCCCAGTCACTGCACAGCTCTGATTCGGATTGGTTCAAGTCACATTTTAGTTTTTCGAAGCTGTCGATGATGAACAAGAGTCTCTCTGGCTGGGCTGTGATTTCTATGCCGGGGACAGAGGGCTCATGCCATTCTCTGGAGATGAGTTCAGCCAGGCTTGTGGCCGGAAGCTTTTTCAGCTCTCCACAGCAGAAGTAGAAGATATAGGAGAACCGGTCCTGCCCGATGATGCCGTCTGACCAGGCTAGAATAATCTTCATTAGAAGCATCGTCTTCCCAATTCTCTGGACCCCTTGGAGGACCACTGTATACGACTGTTTCTCAGTGGCCTCTGGCCTCAGAAACAACTCTAAGTACTGACGCTCTTCCTGAGTGATTTTCTGGTGGAAGAACTCGGCCACGTCTGTGATGGTGTTCCTGCGCCACATGTCGCTGAACTTCTCCTTCACGTGAGCTCGGTACTTCCTTGTGTGGCCTGTGTCAGCAAGCATCAAGGAAAAGAAAAACACAGTTTATCAACAGCCAAAGAAATTTATGTGTTTTCAACACTGGCCAGCTGCATCTGTTGGTCATGTCAACAGAACTTGAGGACATTCTTATTTCTTTTATCCACAGGGAAAGCACAGCGAAGCGGAATGGTTGTGGCTGTGTCCACAAAGTCTAAAATGTCAGTGCTGGCATTACCCCTGCCTTCTACAGCAAGTTTGCCAACTCCTCCACAGATGGACATGTGAATGCACGTGCATGCATGTGCACACGGGCGTGCACGTGTGTACAACCCCCACACTGGACTAACTGTAACCAAATGTACAAAATCTGACCATGATAGAGGACAACACCCATCCACGCTGGACCACCTATAACCACCTGTACTAAATGCAACCCACGGTAGACCACCTACCCATACTGGACCACCTATAATAACCTGTACTAAATACAACCCATGGTAGAACACCCACCCACACTGGACCACCCATAACCACCTGTACTAAATACAACCCATGGTAGAACACCTACTTGTACTGGCCTGCCCACAACCACCAGTAACTAAGTGAAGTTGTTTCTTACATGCAGTGATAATATATTCCCACAGGAAATACCATCTGACCCCACGAGAGAAAGCTGCAGAAGCCGCTGACTGACATGAACACTGACAATGCTGCCTATGAGCAGCATTGTGCCCATGCCCCGGGCCCTTACCTGTGCTCTCCCTCAGGGCCTTGACACAGAGGTCCTTCCTGTTGATTTTGAGGAAGACCCTGCCGGTCACAGCCCAGGCCTGTGGCCCATCATAGTGCTTGGTGAGCAGGTTGGCCAGGCCTTCCTTGGACGCTCTCTTCACCTCAGACCAGGGAATTTGCTTGAGTCCAAGCTCCTCAGCTTCCTGCTTGAGGAGCTCCTTGAATTTCACCAACTCTTTCCTGCTGAGCTCCTCTAGGTACCACATAAGGCCAAAGTCAGAGAAGAAAGACGACGCCATTTCATCCAGAGAAGAACAGTCTTCTGAGAGACAGCCACCAGGAACAAGACATTAATGGACTCTATGGAGAAAAAAATAATCATGATAGCAGCAAGTGATTCAAGCCCCAGTACAAGCACAAGAAAATCACAAACGGTGCTGGAAAAACTGAAATTCCACATGCCAAAATAAATAAATGAATAGACCTAAAGACCCCAACTCTTACACAGAAATAAGCAGTAAAGAAAAAAGCCAGGGGGAGGGATTCAGACATAGTGGCTCATGCTTGTAATCCTAGCTCCTTAGAAGGCTGAGATTGGAAAGTTTATGTTCAGAACCATCCTGGGCAAAAGTTCAATGAACTACCCCCAACCAGCGTTTGCCAGGTGTTCACTGTTTCCCAGCTATCATGGGAGGCTGAAACTGGAGGACTGTGCTTCCAGGTTAGCCTGGGAAAACAATGTTTATGAGTCCACATCTCAATAGAAGAACTTGGCCAGGTGCCAGTGGCTCACACCTGTAATCCTAGCTACACAAAGGCTGAGATCTGAGGATCATGGTTCAAAGCCAGCCTGGTCAGGAAACTCCATGAGACTCTTTATCTCCAATAAACCACCAGAAAACCAGAGTGGTGCTATGGCTCAAATGGTAGAGTGCTTGCCTTGAGCTGAAGAGCTGAGGGACAGTGCCCAGGCCCAGAGTTCAAGCCCTCCCCCCCAAAAAAAGGAACTTGGGCATGCTGCCAAGGTCCCTAAAATAGGATTGTGGGCTGTGCTGACCTGGACAAAAAGCAAGATCCTGTCTCAAAAGCAAGCAGAGCAGAAGGGGCTGGAGGCTCTGAGCACATGGTTGGTGGCTGGTTAGGGAGGTATTTGGTTCACCAACCTCTCTGCCATTCCGTGGCTCAAAACTACAGAACACAGGTCTCTGACAGCCCATGTGATACTCTCCCTGTGAGTGTCTCCACACGGGCACCTGCTCCAAGGGCAGTGGTCATTAGAGCAAGGTCCACTTACTCCTCCACATACATCCTCATCTTAGTCAAGTAAGTCTACAGTAACCTTCCACTGCCACATTCTGAGATACCAGAGGACAGAACTTGAACATATCAGTGTAGAAGGCATAGTTCAGTCCTTAGAAAACACAGAACCCTGCTCCCACGGATCTAGAAGACTCTGTATATACTTCCTCTTTTCCTTCAGTCCTAGGGTGTGAACTCACAGCCTGGTGCTTGCTAGGCAGGCACTCTACCACTGGAGTCACACCTCCAGTGCTAGCTATGGGTTTTGTTTTGTTTTTTGTCAGTCGTGGGGCATGAACTCTGGGCTTGGGTGCTGTCCTTGTGCTCTTCAGCTCAAGGTGAGCTCTCTGCTGCTTGAGCTACAGCACCACTTCCGGTTTTCTAGCAGTTTGTTGGAGATAAGAGTCTCACGAACTTTCCTGCCAGGGCTGGCTTTGAACCGGGATCCTCAGATCTCAGCCTCCCGAGTAGCTAGGATTACAGGCATGAGCCACTGGTGCCCGACTAGATATGTTTTATATAGTTAAAATCAATGCACTATAAAAGTACATGAATCTGAGCTGGGGAGGTGTCTCAGTGGTAGAGTGCTTGCCTTGCATACATGAGGTCGTGGTTTGATTCCTCAGCACCACATAAGCAGAAAAAGCCAGAAGTGCTGCTGTGGCTCATGTGGTAGAGCACTCGCCTTGAGCTGAAGAGTTGAGGGACAGCACCCAGGCCCAGAGTTCAGGCCCCATGACCGACA